CACCAGCCACGCTAATGGTTATTCAGGCGTCCATGAAATTAATAACCCCAATAATAGAATACCAGGCCAGGAAGGTATTAAAAGGCAGGAAAGGACTTGTCTTCCATCTGTTTGCTAGGAGATGCTTTGGGAAACACCCCAGGTGGGAACTCTGAGAGCACATAAGGCCACGGATTCAAAACAAAGCTGAAGTAAGCATCCAGGGTTTGCTTCCAAGTTGTCATAACTCTGCTTCCATGCAAAGGGTAGCCAAGAAGAGTGCATTACATGGGAGCCACCCGGCCAGTTTGTCCTGACAAAGCTACCACATGACCTCTTCTTCCCGTCAGTGTGCTCTGACTTCTGCATGGAGTCCCCAGCTCTGTCACGGAGATATGCACACTCACAGAGCTCAAGCCTAACATCCAAGGGTCAGCACTGCCACCCCATCCCCACCCCACCCCCACAAATCCACAGCATACCGAGCAGTGCATCGGTGTCCACTGCAGGCACCTAGCACTACTCTACCCCCGCAGGAGGTCATTGAACCCTGCGGGCATTGAGCCCCACCTTGGCAATAGCTCTTCCCATCAGCTTTGCCTGGCTGATGGGAAGGTGCAGTCAATTTCAGCTGAGGTGTGGGCATGATTCTGCAGCTCCTCTGAGGGACTATGGTATCCTCTCTAGTCAGCGTGAGCACCGATGATCAGTAGCAGGTAAGACATGTACTACAAGTATCCATTGATGGTACTGACTGATGGTGGTGTCTTCTACCTAGACGTCAGTGCCTATGATGGGCTTCCTAGGGTTGGGGTAGCCTGGCCCTCCTTGTAAGTGTGTTTTGGGTAAAGGACGACTCCACTGCAGGTTTGGTCACAAGAGAGGAACCTGCTCGGGCAACTGCTAAACCTCTTCCTAGAAACTGACATCAAGGCTCTGGCACACAGCCCCTGCCTCACCAAGCAACTTTGACATTCTAGAGGGAAATCCTCTTCTAAATGCTGAGGTACCCTCATACAAGAACAGCCCCTCCTGAAGCTTTTTGTGGACGGTAGCTGGCCTGCCATATTCCAGCATCACTCTCTTCAGGCAGCCTCCCGCTCGGGTGGCAGAGCTGGTAGCCCATTGCTAATTTTTCACTGCCCTTGGGTACCACATCACCTTCATTTGTCTTGACTTCAGTGAGCTAGGAGCTAAAGAAGCAACTGCGTAAATCATGTCAGACAGACAGACAGGCCAAGTAGAGTGAGGCCTGGAGAGCCATCTGTCCTTCAAGTGCAGTCTGTGATGGTGTCTGTTCTGATCTGAGACCTTTCTCTACTTACTGAGTACAAGCGGGGTGTGACTCCATACGTCTAGAGGATCTGAGGATAAAACAGCTGGTTAGAATTAGCGGTAGAAACACGTGCCTGGGGAGCAGGTGGGGACACGTCATTATCACTCTTGTTGTCTCAGCAGCTGACTTACCAAGTACATGGTATATGCTAAGCCCTGTGAATGAGTTGCACAGCCACACAAGCACCTGCAGGGAGAGGGTGTGCTGCCCATCCTTGTTACACAGGAGAAACTAAGCCACAGCCTATCAGCTGATCATCAGCAGAGCTGAGATCCCAGTGTAGACCCTCTGATAACCTAGTCCCTTCTGAAAGCCACCTTCTGTCCTGTCCTTCACCCTTGGTCCTGTCCTCCATTCCGTGATTCAGTGCAGTTTTAGAGCCTTTGCTCCACTGTGTTCTTGAACTGGGCTGTTTGAGACACTGGGGTAGATTACCAGGCAAGACCACGGCCTGAGAGCCCCTGAGCTAAGCACCAGGACTCAGAGCAAATCTGCAGCCTATCAAAACTGCTGTGTCCTCCATCAGATGGAAGTAACACTTGCTGGGGAGACTGGATGAACTATGCATGAATTCTCTGCATATGGCGTAAGTGTTGTAGGCATAAATGGTCGTTTTTTTAAAGAAAGTCAGAAAGTGAATGTTTTAATAGATTTGAATAAGTTCTGTCAAATAAGGGGTTTTTGGATTGCATTTACATTCTTACCTTAAAAGGCTGCTTCATGAAGTCGTACACAGAAGAAAATGCCTCAAATGTGAGGCTCATAGCTTACAATGGTGGCCATGGGCCCAGGACAACCCTGGATCCAAATCTGGCTCCCAGCACTTGACTGCGATGTAGTTTGAATCCACATTTGTGGGAATACCTTCAAAGTCTCGAAGTCTTCAGAGTTAGCCTGGGATGCACCACGTGACCCAGACTGCCTCCAAACTCCAACTTCGGATACTTTTGTGTCCGCTTCCCTAGTGCTAGGCTTACAGGGTGCCATGACCTCTGACCAGAGCGTACATTTGAAGACATGACCAAAATGGATTTGAAAAGATAATATTTGAACTTTTTGCTTCATGTTTTTAGTGTTTATTAATCTTTAATATTTAATGTCAACCTGACATAGAAATTTAATATTTATCTCCCCAGTTTGCCATGTTTATTCCTTCTCAAATCCCCTTCCCATGGGGACTCTGGGCTATCTGTACCCCAGTGAGGCCAGGGCTATCGGGAATGCTGACCTGTGTTCATTCTTCTTGTTCCTAGTAAGTTTCACCAGAAAAAACACCCCGGCCCCCCCAAAAAAAGACCTAAATAGCTGCATTGTACAGGACATGGCAAAGCTGGTTGGCGCCTGCTCCTCATTGCACCGACAGCAGAGCCTCTTCCGCCTGCCACCTAGTGGTCGCCAGCACAGTTGTTCCTCAGAGTCCGATGTGCTTCCTGGAAATGTCCCTTTGAGTACATTGAGATGGGATGCCGACTTGTCCAGTGGTAGATGCATTTGTAGGACATGGTCATCAGGGACAGGGTTGTCCTTGAGCTGCCTGTGACCACTGTGCCCCCAAGCCTCCCTGTGATGACTGGCATAGGAGCAGTCATTCTTACCTTACTTCTGGGGTCTCTCTTTCAGCCCTAGAGTGGTAGGGTGATAAAGTGGCAGCTGGGAATGTGGGCATGTGGTCTCCAGGGCCACATGAAGGCAGCTGTTTCCACACATGTTTCCTCCTATCCTGATTCTCACACCTTCTGTCAGTCATAGGGCAAAGCCCCACCCACCTGTCATGCTTGACTCAGCTAATACACAGGCCATGGCCACAGTGGAAATAGAGGAGGCAGGTAGAGGGATAGTACCCAAGGCAGCCTTGGGGTATGAGCAACTGTCCTTGATGCCCAGGAGCAGGTGCTGATGGGAGGTCCCTGGTAACTGGTTTCCAGGAGACTTGGGCAGCAGCTATCACAAAGTACTTAAGAGTTGCAAGCCATTTTAATGCAATGAATTTTAGGTCTAGAATGGTAAGTTTCTCTGGGTGCAAGAAGGGGTTAGGCTCATCATTTCCAGTAATTATTTTCTCTTTGGTACCAGTACAGCAGCCCTCCCTAAAGACTTGTCAGAACTGGCTGTACATAGGACAGATGGGTCTGGTACCCTTGCAGCCGCAACTCCTGGTTGATCCTTGCCAGAAGTAGCCAGCACATTCTGAAACTGTGCATCCACAGTTCCTTCACTACATGAGGAGGTTTGGAATTAGCAAACTGACTCCTCTCTGTAGTTAAACCAGCATGGAGTAGAGAATGCTCCAGCCCAGTTAGCCCCACCACAAGTGGGGTGTTTCTGCGCTGTTTAGTAAGATCAAGTTTCCTCGGCTCATGAAACAACAGAAATTACTTGAAGAACTTCAAGTGGTTTACCGAAGTCTTCAGGATATAAGCACCAGTGTACTTTCTAGATGTGTGGCCTTTGCCTACACCCACACAAAGACTAACTGTGGCTTCCTTCAAGGAGCCCTGCAGCAGAGCTGTGGGAGGTGGCCTGGAATTCTGCTCATGGGATACTTACACACACACACATACACACACACAGAGAGAGAGAGAGAGAGAGAGAGAGAGAGAGAGAGAGAGAGACCAATATACCTATCAGGCTCACCATGTAGAGGAGTCATTGCAAAATGGCATTTGTGCTGAAGGTTTCAGACATTGTCTAATGTTCTTGACTTTGGGGTTGGTGGCAGCCAGTGGTCCAGTCCTGCTTAGTTAACACATTCCAAAGATTCTGTCTCATAGTTAAAAAGGAGCAGGCACAGAGGTGGGTAATGAAAATAACCAGGGAGCCCAAACTCATTCTGACTTGATCTCCAACACAGGTGGGCTCTGTCAGGGGACGTTGGTTCATGGTGACTTGTGCTCTACCTCCAACTCATCCTGGTGTTTCTAGACTGTGCAACACACGCCTGTCCAACCAATCAGTGAACATACAGGACTTTATAGGTAGAAATATGCCCTCCTGTCCCCAGTTTAGGAAGCAGTCTCTAAATCAGTGTGACCACTTTTTTTTTTTTTTTTTTTTTGAGAAGAAAAGAACGTGACCAGATGGGAAGGAGATCTGCCACAGTAGTGGGGTGAGATTTCCCTGAGTGAGCATGGATTCTTTTGAGGCTATACTCTGTCTCTCAGCGCTGTACACAGTTTCAGGGAGCTGAATATGAATTAAGATGTCAAGAACTGATGATAACACAAAGAAAACATATACAGCTAATAAGTGCTAATAAAAAAAGTTTCAAAAACATGTAATGCTGGAGCACTGCAGGGTAAAGGAATACGCCATGTGAAGCTGTTTCTGCCCTGCTTCAGGGAAGCCTGTTTGCATGGTCTCATTCAGCAGCAAAAAGAAAAAAATAAAAATGGTGCTATCTGCTGCAATCCATTTCCGTTCTTCACTCTTCCTGCCTAAACCTCAGAAGTATCCCCTGAGCCCCACAGCTCCTGAGCCTTGCAGTCCTCAAGACACCCCCCCAGGCCCCCAAGCGCAGCAGCCTGATTGTAGAGGAAAGAGTTGAGCTTTCATTTCCCAGCTTCTCCTTCCCTCCTCCGTGGCAGAAGCCACCACTGCTCATTCTGGACTCTCCACGGTCACTTTGCTCCTTTTTCCCTTGTGTGAGTCACTCGCTAAGCCCTCAATTTTCCTTTCTCTTCCCCAGCCCACCTAAACCAACCGTGTTCATCTCTGGTGTTATGGCTCGGGTAAGTGTGACCTATGTCCTGGATGGACAAACAGATGGTGGAGGGGTGTGTGTGTGTGTGTGTGTGTGTGTGTGTGTGTGTGTGTGTGTGTGTGTTGGGGGTGGTGGGGGGTTGGTCCTGTGACCTATTTACTGGATGGACAAACAGATGGTGGAGGTGGGGGGGTGATGGAGGGTTGGTTCTGCACCCAACCTGCTCCTGTAAGAGTGTGAGCACAAGAGCTCCCATGCAATCTCCTCTTGCCTCGGTAAGCCTACCCATCTGACCTGGGGCTGGTGGCTTTCTTTGGTGACAGACCTGCACACGTCCAGGCCTGCCCACCTGTGTCTCACCTGACAGATTTTATCTGCTGGCCCTCAGACTACACACATGCTTTCTGACACACCGTGGACCTTTAAGGGGCCCTCTTCTCTTGAAATCCAAGCTCCACTGTTCAAGGAAGCCATCATTGTTGGGTACAGCTTTGCTAACACAACAACTGTCACAGCCATCTACAATCTGGGGCCAGCCGATGGCAGGTCTGCTGAGTGCAAGAATGTTAAGTGTCTACATAACCAGGTCCCTTCTTGATTGCATTGCTCTGTCTGTCCTTGCCCAGATCAAATCCCACTGTTGGCATAAGAAGCCGAACATAGGCAGGCCCTTTCTCCCGACCCCCGAGGGTTGCTTCTCCCCTGCCATTTGTCCCAGGCCCGCTCACAGCCGTGCCGACAGATCCAAGTGTGAAGCTAGATTTGGCTTGTCTTGTTCCAGACCTAGGAGGGAAAGCAGCTGGGCCTTCTCAAGGCAAGGCTGCAAGCACAGTCACTGTGCCATCATGTGCCACTGTTTGCTCCCTGGTCCTGCTGGCCCGCAGAGCCTGGCAGCCACAGCAGTAGCCCACTGCTGACACACTCCCCTACCCCTGCAGGAAGCTGGTGGGGGGGGGGGCTGGGTTCAGAGGACTTTCTGCTCTATTCGTTTACTGTTAACCAGCTTGTATATTGTCTCTTTGCAGGGTGACAAAGATTTTCCCCCCGCGGCTGCACAGGTGGCCCACCAGAAGCCACACGCCTCCATGGACAAACATGTTTCTCCAAGAACGCAACATATCCAGCAGCCCCGCAAGTGACCTGCGCCCAGATCCTGGTGCCCAGACCACAGCACCCTCTGCAGCAGCAGCCAGGCCCACATCCCATGATGCTCCCCGGCCAAAGGAACTTGCACTTTCTGAGCAGTTCACCAAGTTCAGAAACCTAAGACAAAGTGAACCCCCGCTGTCTCAGACCCCCGAACCCCAAACTTTGTTTCTAAGAGTCCTCACTGTGTCAACGAAGAGTCATTGTACCCTACCTCCCCCAGAAGTACCATTAGCAGGACTTGGCAGGTCCTGAGGAAGCCTTCATACCCACAATCACTGAAAAGTCCTTACTCTTGGTCCTAAAAGGAAGAAGCCATTTTGGGGAGATTGATAAAGTTAGAAAAACAAAACACTAGGTGTGGCTTTTATAAGTTGTGCTTACATCCTACCCCAGGATACCCTGGACTGTCCCACCCCACCCCAGTTTATGGCTGCAGAATTCCTGCTTTTCTGAAAAGCCAAAGGGCTTCTTTAGCCAGATATAGAACCTTCTAGAGTACTGCTCATGGAGAGTGCTCCAGCATGGCCCCGTGGCCTGCAGTCAACTTCAGGTGACAGTGGCCCTGTGAGCAGTGTCTGCACCACCAGCCACCGTCCTGGTACCATTTGCCAAGGCCTGTGCCATTTCACTGAAGGAGAGAGGGGCTCCTTGAATTTTATAAGCAGTTCAGTGCCCCAGCAGTGGACTTAACAGGGAGCAGGGCACAAACCCACAGACCTTTCTTGTCAGCCTCTTCCCTCTTAATTACTGAAATGGCACGAACCAAGGGTCACATTAGAGACCCAGGCTTGGCTACAGCACTACCATGGGACCCATAGCCTTGCTCTGTTGTATGGAACCAAACACAGGAAAGGACCTTAGAGCAGGCAACACCAGGTCCCCTGTGCGGACCTCTCTGCCTCCTGTTGTATAAATCTGGAAGCATCTACAGTCTCTTCCAGTCCAGCAGACTGAGGAGCCACCCCATGATGTTCTGCATACTCTGAGCTAGCTCTGGTGTGCGTCTGTGGGCTCTAGGTCACTGAATGTGACACGTTTCCCTAAATGGATTTCCTAATCATTGACACTGAGAATACGTTGATTATAATAAAGCTCCTGCATTCTGCCTTGTCTCCCTCTTATGTCTCAGAGAGTCCACTTTTAAGATCCCGAGGGCTGTCACCTATTGCAGTGATGGTACAGACAGGCACGCATGATGGATATCCTCAACACGCATGATGGATATCCTCAACACTGACTTCCTGCACATAGAGTTGAGCTGCTGGACACCTGGCAAGTTGAGCATAGTCGCCTTCTGTAACTGTCAGAAGATGGAAAGGCTTAATCCAGTTGATTGATGTGTCCTGCTTGGGTCCAGCAGCTGGCTCTGAGCAGGGTAGGTCCTTCCAGGGCAGAATTAAAAGAGAATTAGTAGTAGTAAGCCCAGGGGGTAATGCTGAACAGCTTTTGGTATACAAGAAATTACCTATTTCAGATCTTCCTAGACAGCTGCTAAAGCTGGGGCCCCAGCATCAGGCCACAGCTGCATGTAAGTCAGGGAGGACTTGAGAGGCTGAGAAAGGAGGATCAGGAGTTGAAGGCAGCCTTGCATGTGGCTGGGTCTGCATCTCCCTCCGGCCCTGCCCCTCCCTCCCTGGTTAGTCTGGTCACCCAGAGAGGCCACTGTTGGTCTTCGTGTGTCACAAAGAACAGCAATGTTGATCTTCATCTTGCATCCAGGGACGGAGAGAGCTGTCCTTGGTAACTAAGTATGGTCAGTAGCCGCCAAGCCTTCCCCAAACCTGTCACCTGCTGCAGATTTCAGAGCTAGCCCCAGAACAGACCTGCAGGGAGAGAAGCCACAAGAGTAGTGCTAGGGCCCCGCGCTGTGAGCCACTGTCTGTGGTTCGGTCCCAAGGCTGCAGTCCCAGGCCTCCCTGTGGTCTCGGCTCGGCTTTGCATGAATGACCTGCCAGTGGGTGTGTTCTACTGTGAGGGAAGACAAAATCAATCTCGGTAGTCAATACCAAAGCCCTATTATCAACCGGCTCTCAGATGAGATATGCCAGTGGCCACTAAGCACATAAAAAGGGACGTGTCCTAGCTGGGCACATGTGGTGACACATGCCTGTAATCCTGGCGAGGCTAAGAAAGGATCATGAGTTCCAGGCCATCTTGTGCTGCACAGTGATGCCTTGTATCAAAAAAAGAAAGTAATCAAGGGAATGGACTTTAGACCCACAAGGAAATACTACTGCAGCTAAAACCGAGTCAGACAGTTACAGCAGCTGACAAGGATGTGTGTGCAAAGCAGAGCTCTCACACAGTACTATTGGGAGTGTAAAATGGCGTAGCCCCTTGCAGAAAGCAGCAGCTCTCTGAGCAATTCAGCATGAAACTGCCAGCTACTCACTGCCGGGCATAAGTCCAGTAGAAATGAAGACATGCCTCCACAAAGCTTGCACTCGGTGTCTATAGCAGCATTACCCAACAGGTAGAAATGACTCAAGTGCTAACCTGGACGCTCCCCCTGGGAACACCGCAGGTGTGACCATGGAGGTGCCAGTGAGGCAGGCTGGAGGCGTGCCAGAACGCACACGTGTTAGATAAAACACTCAACAAGACCAGGAAGTGAAGTAGGTGATCCCTGGGCTAAGAAAGCTCCCATAAGTAACCCTGGGAGCCAAGAACAGAGGAAGCCTGACATTGCCTCCTCACATCCAAAGAGGACAGAAGCCAAATTCAAAGAGTCCTGGATTTGTTCTAGGTAGATCAACACCCATCCATTCTATAGGTTTTCCTTAGCTCCTAGTGCCTGAGACAAAGAACCCAGAGCTCAGGATGAGCCTTGGTTTTAAGATCTGCTTTGTCTGCTTATTACCCACAAGGCCTTGGGAAGCTTGCTTGTTCGTTTTTTTCTAAGTCTCAGTTTTATCATCATAACACAGAGAACTTTGCAGAACCTCCCAGAAGTTCCCAGATAACCCTTGTACATGCTAAGACAGTTTATCTGTTAACACTGGTGTATCATCATGCTTTCTATTTATAAAGCAAGATTGGAGATGCTATGAATTCTGCCCAATTATCAAATCCCAACAGGAGGTAGGGGAAGAGAAGGGGAAGCCAATCCTGGGATGCACCAGGAACGGAGTCAGATATCACAAGCTTAGCTACTGACCAGAAAGGTGCATACTGCTGCCCTGCACACCTGCCCCTCACTCTTCCATATGCCCAGGTGTGGAAGGCAGGTGAGCCTTTGTGTGTATCCAGGGGCAAAGACACTGGTGGGACATGCCAGAGCTTCTGCTGCCCTGGCCACTGGACAGTGGAATGGCCTTCAGCCACCAGCCCTAGTTAACCCTGGAACTCAGATGTCCTAGAGCTGGGTGGGGGGCAGACATTAGAAGGCCCAGCAGGCGTGTGATTAATTATTTTCTAAACATCTGCCTACCACCACCACAGCCCATGGTGTTCTGCTGTTCTGCAGATTCCTGAACTTCCCAGCTGCTGTGCTGATTAGATGTTGCTTTTTACTAACTCAAAAGGAACTTTTCCCCCAAGACAGGGCATCCTGCTGGCCTCTGCAGGATCAAAACAAAAACCTAGGCCTTTCACAAGGCTCTAGAGGAACATCCACAGCCATATGCCCCTGCAGAACCAGAGGACAGCAGGAAAGAATCCTGAGCACTTGAAATTTCATAACTGTGGTCTGGGCCAGGAGTTCCCAGAGAGACAGAGCCAAAGGGTATGACTATAGATGATCAAATCTTACATAACAGTGTCTAATGATGGTCCTCATATATCTCATTCTGTATTACTGGGTGTTTCCATAAGATTACATCACCTAGGGACACTGCACCTGTCATGGGCTGTGTAAGTACACATGAGACTTGAAAATGGCAAAATCAGGTCATGGCTTATTTCTTAGAACAAACACCTGTTCCTAAGTGGCATCTAACTGTATGTGTGCACACATGCACAAACATGTTTGTGGAAACATTTTACCCTTATTTGCAATCTCATATTCATACACAATGTGGATTTTTTTCATTTTTATTTGTGTATATGTCAGTGTACAGTGTATGGGACCTGGTGGAGGGCTATGCCCCTGAGCCGAAGCAGAAGCCAGAGGAGGACATCAAGTGTCCTGTCTTCCCATTCTCTGTCCTATTCTCTTGAGACAAAGTCTCTCACTGAGTCTATAGCTAGGCAGGCAGCCAGCAAGCCAGAGCGACCCTACTGTCTCATCCCACACGGCACTGGATTTACAGGAGCACACAGCAAAGCCTGCATGTGTGTGTGTGGAGAGGGGCGTTAAACTTGGGTCTTCATTTTTGTGAAGCACGCCCTCTTGCTAAGCCAGCTCCCAACCCTACACTATTTGCTTTCAAAAGTTTCACATGCACAATGTATTTTGACAAGTTTTATCCTTGTTTCCCTTGCCTGTCATTCTTGACCAAATCCTGTCTTTCCAACTAGACCATCTCCTACTTTTGTGTCTTTTTGTTGTGGTGCTGGTGGTGGTAGTGGTTTTGATATGTCTGTGTAGGCCTGACTGGGCTGCTACATGCTAGATAGACTAGGTTGGCCATCCTCCTGTCTGTGTCTTTTTTAGTGCTTGGATTACAAGGGGCAGGTGGCTCTCCGTGAGTTTGAGGCCAGTCTAGTCTACATAGTGAGTTTCAGGACAGCCAGGGCTATGTTGAGAGATCAAATCTCAAAAATAAACAAAATAGTAACAGTGAAATGCAAGTGTAAGCCAGCATTCTCAGTCGAAGGAACTTATAAAAAGAACTGGCTCATGAACCTACAGACACTGGCAAATGCACCCTGCAGACTATGGTAGGAGGATGCCTCCCTGGGAAGGCTGAGGTGGCCGTAGGAGCCCAGGGGTTGTCTGTGATAGACCGTCCATGACTCTCAGGAGCATCAGACTTGGACAGACTGCTTGGAGTTCAGGCACACGATGGATGGAAGACAATCTACTTTAGTCAAAGTCCACCAATTGAAACCATGTTCAAAAAGTCTCCATTGAGCAAAATGTTTAACCAAATATCTGGGCACCGCGGCATGCCAACACAGGAAACGAGCCAACAGGAGTTCACAATTCATATTTAGCATGGCCCCAAAGCATTTGGGATCCGTTTCCCCTGACAGCACTGAAATGGCTGCAAGTCTTTGCAATGTTCTGTCTAGCATTTAACTTACTCTTCCAAACAAGCATTCTAAAATTCAATTAACCACATTCATAACAAGAGAAAATATTTTTCCCTCTTCCTCCCCTTTAATCCTA